CTTGTAGATGTTGAGACATTTGAATACATGTACCAAATTTCATTGGCAGCCAATCCAACAGGACAGAAGAGATGAACCGACCACTTGTCTGCTAGCATGGCTAAATTATCATTTTGTGATCAAATGTTTATTTTTCTTCTTCGATCCCATTTTATTCATCATGTTGTGACAACAGCCCTGACCCTCAGGTTGAGAACCACCAATCAGTTAAATGTTTCAGCACCATTTTTATGTGCACTATATAAGTGACTGAATTTCTCCACGGTAAAGAAAAAACATTGCTGATAATGTCGCAAATTGTTGCTTTATATATTTGAGCCAGTGAGTAAACTACCAGTGTCTGAATTGTATTGTATTTGAAAAGCCGTACGCTATTAAAGACCCGCTTCGGCCGAGACTTCTGTGTTGCATTCACTTCCTCAACGCCTCTTGGCGAGTTCATCATTGCAAACTCAGTTTAGTGGACAACCGTTACTCAGACCCACAGGGTAGAAGGTAAATGATGGATACCAAACAAATCTAAACCACTAAGCCCCCTGGGAGTGACAACATTGCACAACCTTTTCGTCCTTAAAACTGTTGCAAGAAACTGCAGCTCGGGCTCTCTGTTAATGCTTTCCAATTGAGAGGGATCCATTAAGCTGTTTGGTGCTTTGCTTCGAGTGAATGTTGGTACGCTGGAAATGTGGCGTGTTTGGAAGTCATCTGAAACTTTAAGTGTCTTCTCTGCCTTAAGGGACGGTAAAGTTTTAAATGAGTGTGTCCAAAGTCAAGCACTTGCTCAGCATCTCTGCTGCGAAAACTGCATCCTTTGTCCAGATGATGTGGGACCAGACACAAACCCCCTTTCTCATTAAGGGCAATAGTCTGACCCAGAAATATTGTTTGTGTGTGAATCAATGCTCAGAGGAGAAGCCTATTAACTATGTTGGCTAATGTTGAAGTCATCTCATCTTCTTCCATGTGAGAGACAAGCGGGGAAAGACAGTGCAAGAGGAGATTTAGAAGAGTGTTTGTGTTGCAAAAGAAAAAAAGCAGCGAGTGTGCCTTGGAGATATAGTTAAAGAAATTGTTACTGCAAGAGCGGGAAACAGTGTGTGTGTGTGTGTGTGTGTGTGTGTGTTTGCCAGATAAAGACATTGTAAATATTTTCTGTGAAAGAGAGAAAGTCAGTCTGTAAAGTTTGTAAGTGTGTTTTGAATAAAGCAAATACTGTAAGAGGCTATGAGAAAGAGAGGATGGATGTAGGATCTTCTCTTAAGGAAGGAGCAAAGAAAAGGTATCTCAGGAGGGAAGCTGAAATTTAAACTACACCCAGTAATTACTTAAGTTGAGAGAAGCCCTGGAGTGGGTTTTTCCCCACTCTCCTTTATTATCCCTGTGCTCGCTAGTCGTCTTAATGTGCAATAAACACAGCTGAATTGGCTGTTCTTCAGGTATGATCTGGTTGTGTTTGGAAGTAGTAAATGAGAGGTGCAAAGGCGCCTTCAGAGACAGACAGCTCAGTCGCTGGGTAATGCTCCAGAGAGCAATTTACTGCTCAGCCTCTTCTGAAAAAGAAGAAAAAGAAAACTTCAAGCATACACTCTTGTGTCATACTTCCAAAGCCTCAATGCTCACAGCTGTACACACACATATACGTATATATATATACACACATATATATATATAAAGCCCCTCCCCCCGGGCAGAGTGACATAATTGACTTCCCAAAGAAGGAAAACAGTGAGCCTAAACACTCTCAACAAGTAAACTAACAAGTAAACTGGGCAAACTTCAGAGCCGCTCTCTCTGCCACTTCTTAGATCAGCTGTACCAGACTGCCTGGAGAAAAGACGGCAGCTCAGCCAGCTAAGAAAAAGGCATCTGCTCCTGTCCAACCGCCCCCTCTTCCAGTGATGAGGTACCACTTCCCGGACCGAGCCCACTCGACTGGCCGCTTTCCCGTCTTGCTGCTGCCAGAGGCCTGCTGTCTGCTCTGCCAACTGACGTCTGAAAAGGGGCACAAGACTATTTAATGTCCCCCAAAAGTGATGTGAAGTAAACGTGTGTGTGGTTTGGGACATCTATTTTAAAAGCCACAGGTTTTTAACAACTTAATGGCTGTTATAATTAGCAGTGATAGTAACTAAATAAAAGGCGCTGTGTGGTGAAGGTTCTGAGACGCGAGGACAGATATCGAGTGGGATTTTGGTTATCATAACATATTTCAATTTAAACCTGAAGTAGGGCTGAACGATTTGTATCAAATCGCCTGTGTGTGTGTCTTGTACATATTGTGCAAAATAAACAAACAGATCTGAGACCCACTCATAACGAAATTGCCTTTAAATTGTGATTATTTTCTAAAATTTAAATTTCCATGTCTTCTGTGAGATAATATATGCATATATATATATATATATATATCCATTTTTCTTGAATATATTACATATTCAAAAGCGACATTTATTTACCAGAAAATGCATTTCCTGACAGCTGAAATGTTTGCAAAGAATTGCATTTGAATTTTTTCTTTCCTTACCTCAGTGTTGCAGCAGCAGAGTAAAATGACCACCAAATGTCTACTAGCTTAGTTATCATTGTCACATGACCAATGATTGGTCTGTCAGAATGTGTGTTAACACTGTATATTATGAAGGCATTAAGAGAGACCCGCTAACGTCTGTCACAAAACTGATCGATAACACTGATCGATAATATCGTCGATAATATTGTGATCTTTGCTGTTGCCACCAGTGAAGTTCCTCCGGAGGCGATTTGACGTGCCTCGTGCACGCAAACGTACATCTGTTACATGTGCGCTCGGATTCCTGCAGTCTGGTAGGAGTTGAGGGTGAGGATGTGGGCTGCTATGCGTCACTGCGTTACATTTCCATGTTATATTTGGATGCCTGTGTGAGTAAGGGTCCTGCAGTACATCTTGAGTTTTTTTGTGTGTGAGTAACTCAGTAAGTGAGCAGCGGGCTCATTTTAGCCCACTCCCCCTTCATGCCGGAGTCTACGTCAGCCGGAAATCTATCTATGGCGACTCACTCATCCTCTGCCACCCCCACATACAGCCGGGCCTCAAGACACACACACACACACACACACACACACACATGCCACTTCCTTGGGTTTGGGTGTTGCTCTACTGTACTACTACTAGGAGATGCACTGAAATAAGCAGATGACCGGCAGCATCTTCCTTTAAACAACGGGACCATCTGGTGCTGAAGATAAACATTTAACCTGAACTTTTTGTTTTTGCACAGATTCGACAATCTGTCTCAGTAACACCGCAATTAACTCAACTCAGCTCGCGGTCTGTCGTCTAGCGAGCCGACTGTCCCTTCAACGGGTGACATGTTACAGTTCGGTGTCAGATTTCACGTCAGGCTTACTGACTTCCGATCCCCCCACCCCCCAGAGTGCGAGTGAATCACAAAGAACTGTGGGATTCATAGCAAGTAGCCTCTTCCACTGATTGAGGCTGACAGCTTCTCCATCCCTCATTCAGTGGCTAGCTGCTCCTTCAGGGGTATTTATAGCCGCTATTGATCGAGACAGATTTGGCTGAGAAGGAAAAAGCAGCACTTGAGATTTATGTGGCGGACTATAGAAGAGACTTTTGTGTGTCTTCGAGTGTGTGCGTTTTGGCCGCGGCGGGCGAGCACAATGTATGTCACAGTGAGTGAGGCAGCCATGACGCCATCCCTTGTCCCCTGTACACTCTCTCTCTCTCTCGAACCTCTCGTGCCATAACTCCATTAAATTGTTCCTTGTGAACATGAAAGTCATCACACACATCCCTCCCCCCCCCCCCCAAGCAACTGCACCGTCCTCGCCATAAGCTTTAGCGGCCCCTACACACTCAAACCTGAGTCACTCAATCAATCCCAGCTGGTGGCTTGACTTACTGTAGGAGCCTACTATGTGAACGCACACTTGCTGCGTTGTTCCGTTTAGACCGCTGAGGGATGAGTAATCCTCTATTTAAAGGGAATCAGGGCTCGACTGACGACTTCTGGCATACGGGCAGTCGATTGTAAATGCTGAGGTGACTCAACTCATTTACAGGGAAGCGGTAGGGAGGTCGCTTATTGGGATAAAAGCGTGTGATTGACCGAAGGAAACGTAGCACTCTACAATTCGGTCTGAAAGGGAAAAAGTTGTTCTGACAGCCGACCTCTTTCACCATGTATAGGGAGAGGCTTCAAAGGCAGTGTTTGCTTCCCCATATAGATCCCAACACCTGAACTTGAGTATCAGCAGATTCAAAACCAAAAAATATATATTATTTCTATTTTGAACAGCTGTGTACTACTAAACCGGTGACGTGATCTTAAAACGTGCAAAACATGAACACCCCTTGAAACTAAAGCCTTATACTGTACACGTCGCCATTTTATTAGTGGGATTTTCCAGTGTAAAATATAGCCGGCTTGCTGACATTTTGCTAGCTCCTGCTAACGTCACACTGTCCGCTAGCACCTCCCCAATCGCTACTTCACATCTGCAACTCTCAACAGAGACGAGAAAGAAGCGAGATGGCTCGCTAGTTAGCTACTTGGATCCATTTTGGACGCTGCGATCTTTTCTAGCGGAGCTGGTGACGGAAGCAACCAACGAGTGAGTCGTCAATTCACCGTTCGGTCTATAGAATGTCAGAAATGAGTAATAAATGCTTGTTACAAAGTCCCAGAGCCCAAGGTGACATTTTCAAATGCATTTGAACAATTCAAAACCCAAAATATTCAGTCGACTATAAATAAAGAAAATATATTCATATTTGGGATGCAGAAGACAGCGGTTTTGGGGAATTTTGGCTTGCAAATAGCTTACAAGATTATACATTATATAGTTATTATATAGTATAGATTTTATAGTTGAATTGATTAGTTGACCAAATGGCTCCCTTCAGTTTTTCTTGGCATTTCTTTTTGTTTTTTTGACATACTGCCAGCTGAAATGACATCATTGATGGACGTTCTGCAGACGTCCCAGCTGTTTCTTACCTGGCCAGAGCCTGGACCTTGGCTGTGTGTCTCTCCTCCAGCTCTGCCAGCTTCCTCTTCAGTAAATCGGTTTCCTGCCTCAGGCCTGCCGAGTGCTCCATCTCCCCATCCAGCAGACTGCGAAGAGACCTGTCAAACACATGAAGCAGATCACGGACCTGTGTGTTTTCTGTCCCGTTTACCCTCAGGTCGATACATCTCGTGCAGACCTAAATCCTTCTATATTTAGACGTGCTAAATGTTGACATTCCGGTAATGCTATTTTCATAAACGGTGGATGGGATAAACATTATTAAGCTTCTTTAATTGCAGTCACACTCGGCTCCGATACAAAACACTTAATCAACAGCCATCTGTGATTGCGTCGCTGTTATCTTAATGCCCCAAGTACAAATACAAATCACAGTTTATCATAAAGATCTAAACACGGCTTGGCAGAAGATTCACATTTATTTAGGTTTAATTGCAAAGGTGTATAAACATAATACTGTGTTTTTTTCGGTCATTACAACAGACTCTTATTGAACAGTGTGCTTTGCAGTTTGCACAGCAGTTGTTAATTTGCATAAATCACAAAAGTCTCTGGTGGCTTAATGCTCAAAACAAAACAGTCTCCAGCCCCCGAAGTTGGCACAAAAGAAAAACCCTCTTGTCTCGGGATAAAAACAAAACAAGCCGACACAATTTATACAGAAAGGTCATTTGATGTCTCCCTCCAGTCTGTGTGTGTGTGTGTGTGTGTGTGTGTGTGTGTGTGTGTGTGTGTGTGTGCGCGCAGAGGTTTGCGAGCAGCAGATAAGGAGAACACATCCAAACATACGTGTTTTGTTCCTCCAGCTCGTCCTTCCTGTTCATCATGGCCACAATGGCCTGACGCAGCTCCACTGCAGATGAAAAGAGAACAGATTTCAGTCAAACTACCTCCGATACACGAAACACACGCGGTCGCTACACACAGCAATATGCATAAACTAATACTCCACCATTCTCAAATGTAGAAATAACAGAATCCCACTTTTTAATGCTGCACTTTTTGTTCCGTCCTTGTGATGAACTGCTTTGATAAGAATCCGGTTTTTACTTTTTCCAGCTGACAGAAGTTATACACAGTGATATCTGTTTCACTCACAGAGAACACTTTTATTACTAAAGGAAGAAAGAAACTAACACAAGATGAATGTCGGGGAAGACAAACACTGGCTACTGTTCGCATTAAACTATCAAGGAAATATGAATCCAAACTCACAACAATGAACAAATCAACTGATCATACGAGGAAACCGCCCTCTTCTTTGGCCGTTCTGGCTCATACGTCTCAAAACCAGACATTTTTTTACTGTGTTAACAGCCAAAAGTAGCCTAAGCCCTCCTGTGAATTCACTGATATATTCAGCTGATGTTTGCCCTTAATATCATATTATGGGCTGTCACATCCACCTCTGATTTAATGGAAGTTCCTCTCTTGACTGCTGCAAAATCAAATATTAATCTCAAATTTGTCCATGTAACAGAGCTGTCACCCAAAACAATTTCCGGGGGTAATGGTTTCTGATATTTCACCGACGCGGTGCTGAGATCTTGTAAGGCGCTCTGGCGACGCACATTATGTGCAGCACTCGTATCCGTTTTGAGAGTTTTTGCATCACAGGATGATATTAAATTATGTTTTTATTTGCAACGTGAAGAAGATAAATGCTGAGAACTTCAAATTTGCTTCAACGATCGGTACTGCACATGTGCAAACTAGTGCTACGCACCTGATGTTAAACCCTCTCTATTTGTCCATTATGATGCTACATTGTGAACAACAAATCTGTGTTAAGAACGGCAATAGGAAAGCTAGTTAGCTGTTAGCCGCTGGTGGGCAGCAGAGTCCTGCTTAGCTAAATAACGGAGCTAACGGCTAACGTTAATAAAGTTTGCAATGAGTCCCAGTATGATGCGTTCAAGATCCATTCAGTAAAACCGAGGATCAGGCAAAGGTAAATGATGACGTTTTCAAATGTAAATTGTGTTGTTGGCGAGAAACTTGAATAAATGCAGCTGTTTGAATGAGATGTTTTCACAGCAATATAAATAGACATTACAGAAGGAATTATTCACTTGTTTTATGCTTTTAACGCTCTACTCGGTATCGGCCGATACACAAGTTGAGGTATAGGTATCGGGAAAGAACATATGGTAAAGGAACATTTGCTGTGCAAATCTGAAGAAAACATCAAAGAGCAGCAACTTCACTCTGAAGTCTTCAGGATCCTTTCCAGTTCAACTGTATCAGCTGCAGCCAAAGTCTGCTAGCAGTCAGCTGCTGGCTGATGTTAATCTCCATGCTGATGTAAAGGACAGATTTGGGGCGGGCTGTGTGGCGGTACAGTGACTCATCTCCATAGTTACGCTGGGAGGTGCACATGAAGGTTTCAAAGCCCCTAACTAGGCTGCTACCAGGACTTCCAAAAATAACAACCATGAGACAAGGAGTTAATCTACCCTGCACTTTGCATTCCACCATCACACACACACAACATGCAGAGACCACAACTCTATTCTCATAACTAATGTAGGGTGTCGATGTAGCCCCAGACACAAGTAGGTCTCCTCCAGCCCCGAGCTAGGAGCCTGGTTGGGGGAGGAGGAGCAGCAGGAGGAGAGAGAGAGAGAGAAAGAGGAGTGTGATGAAGAGCACAACAGAGAGCAGGGGAGAAATTCTATTATGTCCACAGCTCCATTCTCCACATCAGCAGGCCAGCAATGAAAGTGACCTCGAGTCCGACCACACGTTCACAGCAGGGGGGGGGGGCCAGAGGCGAGCCATTAGGGACTTCAAGTGGAGCGGAGACGTGCACGGGCAAATTACAGCACAAAAGCGTGTGTGAGGTGGAAGTACATACGTGCTTGCAACTTTGTCCTCATGTTGCTGGGAAAGGTGTGTGCTAAAAAATATATACGTATGTACACATGGAAGAGATTGTGTGTGTGTGTGTGTATCCACCGGAGCCTACACGCTCTTGCTCAATTGTTCCAATAATAGATACATTAGCAGAGAGCTAGGCCATGTAATCGAGGTGTCTTGTGGATTATAGACTCCATACTCGCCAATCAATGCACTGATGGCCTCACACGCTGTCAGGCCAGAAGGGAATCACTGAGGGAGAGTTTGCGCTGAACACCGAACACCAGTTTTTCCCACCCCCACACACACACACACACACACACACACCTTTAAAAAATCCAGCACGCTTTGTATTCGACTGCGTGTGTGAACAAAGCCTTAATCACAAAAAAGGGGCAAACACTGCCATTAACAGTTGTACCAAGCTGAAGCACCGAGTATACACACACACACTGATGATTTATTGTCCTCTTCATAGAAGGTCTTATTACTCTTATGCCCACGCACAATCAACTGCTCATTGTCATTTATGACTTAATCAACACGCTGAAGCTATTTAGTTTTGCATATGCATCCTTTTGAGGAACTCACAAGAGACTTTTCCAAAAAAGTAAAGGTCAAAAATAAACCAGCATGATTTTTAGTCCCCAATGTGGGTCAACCTTAAAAAAACATTGGATCCTACATTTCCCATGATGCAGTTCAAAAGGTCTTTCATTTGACCCCTAGCGCCTCGTAACTACAGACTTCTTTTCAAGCTCAAACTGAGATAACCCTCAGTCTCAGAAGACATTATACAACCGTTGTGTTTAACTTGCTTAAAGCTAAAATCCCCAACGACATATTCAATGAAAACAGCACTTTAAAGACTTTTTTCTTGACTTGACAATCCCTCAACCTGCCTCGTCTTCTTCTCGCTCAGTGGTTTTCCTACATTTCCCAGGGCAACTTTGAGAAACCCCCTCCGGAAAAGGCACCTGTAACTTGTTGCTATGGTTTACTTGAGGAGGCGGAGAGAGCAAAAGGCAACAGAGCCAGCGATAGAGAGAGCAAGAGCGAGAGAGAGAGGTTTTCTTTATTTACCAGTCGAGAAAAAGTCACGGTCATTTGCTCAAAATGCAGAAATCTGTTTTGGCTGCGTTGCATTCTGGTCTATTGAGCCGACAGTAGGCATGGAAATCAGTGACTCTGCCTCTGCCGCGATGCCTTTCTTCCTGTGAGACTGTTGGTTGTCAGTGAGTCAGTGATTGTGAGGGACTGACACAAAAAAAACCTGACTTTACAGCGATGTTACAGTATTTCAGGGTGGATTTGACTTTCAACTGCTCTGCTGTTTTACATCTCGAAGACTATTTTCTCTGCATATACAACAGAGACGTTGAGATTATTTTTATAGCTCCCACTAGCTCTTTCCCTAACCCTGCGACCTCCTCTAACTCAGGGCTAATAGATTGGACGACGGCTCAATCCAGCCCTTACAGGCAGCTCTGATCACCTTTCCTCCCCTAGCTCTCTGTCGCTTACTCTCACACACACACACACACACACACACACACACACACACACACACACACACACACACACACACAGAATCCAAGGTATCACATAGCATCAGTGTGAGAGTCTAGTGATCTCATTAGCTCCAGGGCCCCGAGCAGAAAACACCAACCCCAAAGTCCTTGTCTGCTGTGAGTCGCGCACACATTAAAGTGCTCATCACTGTGTGTTTAATGCACATCTGAAATCGCACAGCTGTTGTCAATGGCAGGCATGCACACGATCTGACTGGACCAACAGTGCCACCTGGTGGATTGTTTTTGCATTATGGAAATGTTATGGAACTGAAAGGCACAGGGCATCATCGCTCGTAGCAATTAGATCACTTTAAGCACAAACAACGAGGTTTGAACATAACAGACAGTCTGATTGAATTTGCTGCAGACGACAGCTGCTGGGGAGATTTCCAGACAAAGACGTGGCAGGACTTCCACAGGATTCATTATCATCACAAACTTCTTGGGAATACACTCCAAGATGAGATTGTCTTCCGACAAAGCCTCGAGAGGAACCGGCGATTCGACATATGTGATTCTTGCCGTCATGTTGGAAAATAATAATTTTCATGTTTGAAGTCATTAATCCTTGGACATTAAGGAACTTCACTTATAGGCCCTAATCTCAAAGGAGTGAGAGATGTTATTAAATCCTTTAAGTCACAACAGTATCACTCCTGACACGTCCTTGTTTGGAAATTGCACCACAACCGCCGTTATCCATAAGAACATAAATCCACCTTGTTGGCTTGTAGAATTGGAGAAAAACGCTAAATCTTACAAAGTGAGTCAAAATATCTCATAACACTTAACAAATCAGTGAGGTATAGGGACTTATTTTCAAACAATGCATCTTGGAAATCTTGTTAAGTGAAGACAAAAAAAAAACAACGTACAGGCTTATTATGAAACAACACTTCCTAATACTAGTGCAATGCAGCTCGAAATGAGTTTTCTCTTTTCAAATAAATAATAATAATATTGCATTTTACTCAAGAAATCTTACCAAGCAAATGTTCACTTGCTCCATTGGCAGATTCATTTTTTTTTTTTTTTTTTACTTATTACAAGCAAAAACACCTTGTATACATTGTTTGTTAGATTTTTTTACTTAATTTTGAAGTGGCCTTGTCCCCCCCCTCCCTAGTGTCCCCGGTCGAGGTGATGTCATTTCTATGTGTGAACTCCTGTGCAGAGACACTTTTCGGCTGCCTTGTGCTAGCTCACTTGTGGCATAAAATGCTGATTCACTACACAAAACCAGTTTGGTGACAAACCCAAATAGAAGAGCAGCAGAGAGTGAGAAACAGTAAGAGGCAGAAACACTCACCCACTGTCATGGACTCTGACAGATCAGATGTTGGCAGCACACCGGAGAGTGGAGCAGACTGCGTCGGTGGACTGGACTCCATACTGCAACACATTTTACAATTCATTTCTGTAAAGAAAGCTGAGCCTGCACTTGCAAGACTTATCTTGTTTAGTCCTGCAGCTAAATCTGAGGAATAGTTTGCCCTAAACTGAAAATAATTCGCACATGAGAGCAAGTCCCGCCTGAAACGACATCTTACTTGAATGTTAGCGGCAATCTGCTGCTCTCACAGTTCCCCACCGGTCCTGTTGACTCACGCTGAGCAGGAAATGCAGCCGTGTCCTCCACAGAGCTCACTGAAACCAAATACCGAAGTGAAAGTGAAGGTGTAGAGAAAGTCCCGTGATTCCATCTTATTGACATCCAATCCCTGAACTGAAGCCATAAGCAGCTGTGGTCAGCAGTAAAAACAGTCCAGCAAACATCACAGAATCTTAAAATGCGCTCTTAGAGATGCTAGAACTGCCACAGTACAGCTTAAATTACAACTCTTGATTTATATACATATTTGTATTTTAAAAAAAATCTATGCGATGTAACACAGTTACTGTGCAGTGCAAGTAGGAAATGTAAACTGAGGCTCAGTGTGGCAGCGTAGGCTAAAAGCACTCAGGAAAATAATATACTGATCTGGGAACAGAGTGCATCCGGAAGTGTTTTAATGTTCTTCGATCTTCCTTTGAAGCTGCAGGATTGTGAGTTAAGTCTGCAGTTGTGGTGTTATTGTGTTGTGAGGACCACAGTACCTGGCTGAGAGTCTGCGGGGTTCAGAGGAATGAGGATGTCCGCGCTCCTGTGTTCGGTCATCACCTGTAGGAGGCTCCAGGTGGACACACTGGACAGGCTGCCGACCACCACCCTAGAACAAGAGCGCATTCACCTCCGTCAGTCTGGCCGTGCAATCAGTACTGTTCACTCTACTTCTGCCTCAGTGTGGACATTTTGGATTGAAACCTCAAATGCACGACACGTTCTGGAGTCTATTTCCCATGATGCTTAGGGGGATTTACGGATATATAATCAAATATAAATACAAGCCAAATCAGCGGGTAAAACTACGAGACCTAGTTTCCCAGCATGGGGGGGGGGGGCGGATCATTTTATTGGACTACAAAATTATGCAACTTGCACTGTGTATTGGAAAATGAAGACTAACATTTATGGTTCATCTTCAATACGTTCACTTTATATAATGTTGGTTGATTTTGTGTTTCTGCAGGCTGTGTGATTGTTTTCTGATTAAAAACACTTTGTGTGCCCAGAGGAAACTGACTTTTGGATCCTACCAATCACCTTCAGCAGCCCATAATTTGAGAACTCATCCAATAAAACAGGGTGAAACTACAAAAATGAGCACGTTTTAATTAAAACCCGATTTTTTTTAATGATCTCACGTGCATCTAATGAACAACCTCCAAGGGTACTTGGTCCCGAGGCCACATTAAATTCTGTCGCAATAAATTTAAAAAAAAAAAAAGGGAATATTTCTCTTTATACTTTTTATAACCCGACATTCAACTGAAGACATCTGACTCACTGATCAGAGCTGCTTCTCCTCTCCTCCTCCTGGGTTTGTGCTCTGGGTTTGTACATCTCCTCCTCTTCCTCCTCCTCCTCGTTGTCTATACTCATACTGTCAGGCGGAGGAGGAGTAGTAGTAGTGGGTGGAGTACGAGAGGGATGGGGGGACCCCACCCAGCTGATTATGCCCGGCTCAGCCGTGCCGTTCTGGGCGGGGGGTTCGGAGAAGACCGGCTCCAAAGGGTCTATTCCTTCCTCCACACTGCTCTGAGCAGGAGCAGTGTGGCTCTTCCTCATCGCGCCCATCTTCTGGGAGTCCTCCTCGCCCTCCTCCTCATCCTCCGCACCTCCGTCCAGATCGTCATCAAAGGAAATGATGTTGGTGATTTTCTTTTTCCTCCTGCGCTCTTTCCTCAGCCCGGAGTCTGGGTGGGGGAAAAGATGGAAAACAAAATCTTTGGCTTAATAATAAAGGCTTAATTGTTTAGTTCAATTAAGCCTTTAAAAAGGACACTTTCTGTGGCTCTCCATTTACTCTCCAACCGAAAGGCCAGGCAGTGAATTAGCGCGTCTCCTACCAGCGAATAATCTGAATGGGTTTCTACCTTCAAGAGTTCGCACGCAGCTTAGAATTTACAGTCAGCCCAGTGGAAAGTTTTAGCACCACAGTTAAAATTTAAAAGCTTGTTCATCCCACTGAGCAGAAAATAAAAGAGAGAAAACGCGGCGAGTTGTCCCCTACGGGATGGACCGGGGCAGACGGCTAAATGAAGTCAAACAAGGAACCGACACTCTGGAAGTTTATTCATTTCATGGGGGATTTCATCACTGATGCAGCACTCCGCTGCAGACGCCTTGTGTTGCATCCACTAGATTTGTTCCACCAGTGCATTCATTATACATGCTCCGACTGAACCATATGTTGTTTTACTGCATGTGCCGCTTCTGTGAGGCTTTTGTGACACTAACACTTCTCTAGGAGCAAATATACAGCAAGCTGCAATACTGAAATATGGCATGTGTCCATCCTCCGGCAGGTTTATTTCATGTTGATAGTCCCAAAAAGCAAATGCCATGTATGCAAAGTTTCGATTTTTGCAGCTGGTGTACAAAAACTACAAAAATTATGTAATGTGTAAGCAAAAAGAAAGGCCTAGAAAATGACACTGCTATGCATTTCTTGCATGGCTACTGTATTGTATTATGAATTCATTTTACCATGTGTTGCAACAAAACAAACAAGCCTGTATTAAATATTGCTCTTTCCTACCAGCCGAGCTGCTGCGGGGGAGGACGGGCAGCGGGTCCGAGGCCCCGTCCACTCTGGGGGTGAAGCCGGGCACCACAGCCGTGGCAGTGCTGATCTCTCGCAGCAGGCTGCTGACCCCCTGAGTGGACTCTTTCCACAGGCTGCCGATGCCCTGCGTGGACTCCTTGAGGAGGTGGGACACCGAGGAGCCCCCTCCTCGCGTCACCCCGCCGTTCAGGTCAGTGTTGTCGATGTTGATGGCAAACAGGATGGAGTTCAGACCTGAAGACCGCAGCAGAACAAGGGAGTTTATTGCAGATCAGTCTCGTTAAAATCATATAAAGCTTTTCAACTTCTGCAAAGTGCTTTGTCGGCTTTTTTTCTGGACGCGCACAGATAAGAGAGGGCAACCTAAGATGAACTCAGCCTATCTGCCCGTGTATGAACAGAGAGGAAAAGCTCTGGCACAAGATCAGTGGTTTGTATTCTTAATATTTTAGAGTTTGTGCTCAACCGAGTTCCGCTCATCAATAGTTTAACAGTAAGAGCACAGTCATTACCACTAATAGGGTTAGGACTTCAATTCCCACCAAACCCAGTCGCGGTAAACAAGTGAAGTGCAAAAGCAGTTAATGTATTTTTACAGCGGCTCCGTTTGTGTGAAGCATGTTTCAATTTCAATGAGACTGAAAGTGAGGCTGTAATGCTCATTAGAGAGCGGAAGACACAATATTTGGATGGATAAAGCACAGGGACACCAATTTGCTGTTTTTAGATCCTTGCCACCAATGGGGCAAAGAAAATACAGCCTGGCATAAGAGGGTGGCACCAGAAGAACGGCTGTTTCCCTCTGTGCGTTGGCCATTAAGTTTATTGTTAGCACACTAACATGCTAACATGCTACACATGCAAACTGCAACATGTTATCATGCTAACTGAATGCATTTTAACAGGCTAACATTACCATTTCATGCTGCGTTTATGCTAATGTTACATTACGGACATAATTAGTAAAACACCAACTGTACGCATTTTAAAAACACTAACATTAGAGCACAGGCCTAACATGACCATATTAGCATGCTATGTTAGCATAGCATGCAACACTAACTAATATAAGGTGTTCACTTCCCTCTGAGTGGCATTTCAAATTAAAATAATGATAATAATTAGCCACGGTCCTAGCGTTTTACCTACTACAGTGTGGTGTGTGTGTGTAGTACTTTTACTCTGAAAATATCTCCATTAAAACACAACCTCACCTGCCGCCATGGTGGGGAGCATACTGGCTCTCTCTTCATCGAGAATGAAAGCCCAGTCTTCATAGTAAGTTCTAGAAAACAGAGAGGAGGTGAAGTAACAAAGAGAGGAAACACCAGCTTTACAGAGCAGAACTGTGGAAGTGAATTGATTTTGAAGTGTCAGTATAATGCATGAAAAGAGGGTGCAAGATCACACTGAAATTGCAAATATCTTTATTATTGAGTTCACTGAGCTACAGTGAAAGTCAAAAAGAAATCATGCGTGTAATCCACACAGACACACACACACACACACTGTGTACTAACCCCAGGCGAAGGCGGTCGGCCAGCAGCGTGTGCAGGTATCGCTCCAGCGAGTGCTCGTTGAGGGCGCAGCGCAGCCAGGCACGACCGCGGCCCAGCTCTGAGGAGATGTGGCGCAGGGAGTAGAACCGCTGGAGCTCGTGGCGGTTCAGATGCTCCTTCACGTAGAACCAGAACGTCAACTCTGGTGTAGGAGAGGGAGGAAGAGGAAAAGGGGACAAAGAGGGAGAGAATAAGTTCCATCTCGTTTGTGGCAAACAAATGTTCGTGAGTTACTCAAGAGGTTCAAAAGGTCGCAGTCGCAAAAAACACTTCTAGGGTCCGGAGAGTCAGCACATTCTCTCATTAACATATATATATCTACACCTCCATCCTGACCTCTGACCTGTCACCTCTCCATATTTTGCACTCACACAGATGTATTATTTTCTATAAAACAGGGAAAAAAGATAAAAGGCAAAAAAAAAAAAAAACCGTATGGGGGTGTCTTTTTTTAATGTCAAGTTTCCTGAGGTGTGGTAATGAATAGGAAGAGAGGAGTGCTATGCATACGATTAGCATATAACCTCACAACGATGGGTTAAAATTACGGCTGCTATTTCTGGCTTTGTCAGCGGGGCTTGGCTTCTAATTGTCTGTGAAATACAGGGAAACGTCAGATATGCTAATGGTGATGACGTGGTGGCCGTTACAGAAGCCATGAATGTGTCCTCCATCTGAAATGAATAGCCACAATGGGTCTTAAATTTGACACAGCAGAAACAATTTAGTAGAACGTAAAACTAACGGTCTTTATAGGCTTTGGTGGCTGCAAGTAAAACTGAATCTTGAAGCTTTTAATTTTAATAATACTTTAATTTCCTCATGGAGATTCCCAGTCAGGGGTGCTTCTGCAGTCGCAAGTGTCGACGTGGAAAGATTGTGGAGACGCTCAAATAATTTAATAGAATATAAATTACAATTTGATTATTAAAAGGTTGTTAAATAAATTGCCAAACAGTAGCGTTAAGGGTAATAAGTTGAACTAATTAGCTGATTAAAATGCAAACACTGATGGATTAACAGTTAAAATAGCTTGCTTAAAGTAAAATAAATGTTTGAAATATTTAGCTTTAAATAAAATAAATGTTTGAAATATTTAGCTTAAAGTAAAATAAATGTTTGAAATATTTAACTTAAAGTAAGAGATAAATGTTTGAAACTAGCAGCTTCTGCCACTCCATTAGTAGTAAATACAGATGCAAACTTAACCAAACTGAATTAAACATTGACAGTCGCATGACTGAATCGCATGAAAATACTATCCACTAGTATGGCAACGTTTATGTCATTAGTAGCTAAATAAGGGTTAGGGTTTAAAATCTGATTTGTAACATGATGGGTGGCGTCACTGAAGGGGTGCTTGAGTTCATCTCCACAAAAAAAAAGGGTTGGGAACAAATCTCAGCAGCAACAAATAAAAACAACACGAGACTTCTTCAGTGGGACGAAGACAGTTGGAAGCTACTTATAGAAGGGTGGCTATAATAAAAGAAAATGCAATTATCTTCCACAGCGTGAACTAAAAAGGTAAAAATCCTGAAAATAAGACTAACTTAACGGAGAAGGAGGATGTTTTCCACACAGCATGACACCGTATCACATACTGTATATCATCTATCTATGTTTATCCCACTCTTTACTAAAGCAACACATTAATCATATTAGTGTACAATGAATAAAATATTCAAACCACGTTGTTTTCTTTATGGCTGCACTATTTCATCAACTGGCAACATCACAGATGTCTTCTGCACTTGAGTACCAGCGATCATCTCTCCCCGTAGTTCAGCATGCCACAGGCTGTTTGGCATCTTTTTTACAAACGTCTGTGGGTTTGAACAGTCCTTGAGCACACAACGTGCATTTGTAATGACAGACATGTACGTTTTAGCAGTGCGAAAACACAGCAGGTGTGCTGCCCACCACAGGCTGAGACACAGAGAGAAAGAGAGAGAGAGAGAGACAGAGGTCTGAAGGCAGGAAGCAGAGCACAATGGAGAGAGTGAAGCAGGGAAGCACAGACATTCCTGTGCATGCCATTCTGAACCGTAGCTTAATTACCAGGTCTCACAGCCAGATTGTGCTTTGTGTGTGTGTGTGTGGTTATCCTGCAGCTCTGAGCTTCCCACTGACACATCTGCATCCACCAACCCTCCATGACTTTCAAAAGTAAAAGTCAAGTTACCCTGAAGCAAGGTTAGCCTTCTCAGCTCTGCGGTTAAGTCGCTGCCGTGATTTTTCAACTTCGGACCCGAGTTTAACCGACCCATGCGGCCGGTGAGGCGTCGTACCTGCTTCGGTCTTGGTGTTGAAGCCCGCCGCCTGCTTGAGAGCGGCGGCGGTGAGAGCCAGACCTCGGCTCTTCCTCAGGCCATGCTGCAGCACCGCTTCAAACTGGGCACATAGGCAGATCACCCTGCAGAGACAAAGACACGTTACACCACTATGTGCACCCCCTCATTTGAGTGTTTTTTTATGCCACTTGAATATATAGCTGCACTTTAAACTCCACGGGAAGTACCATTATCTGTAGTTTCCGAATGGAAAGATGAAATTGTAATTCATTTTTCAAAAACTGGAGATACAACTTCAAAATTAGATCTGAGCAGCACAGGATATGAAACTGATGAAATATTTCTCTTTGACTGTAATAAGCTCTGATGGAACAAGGTTGGTACATCGTTTGTCTTACACATAACAACCCACTTATTGCTTAGATGTGATGGAAAATATTGTAAATCTCTTAAAACCCCCCAAAAATAAGGTTATTTAGTTCATTGCAGCGAATAAAATTGATTTTCTTTTTCGCTGTACAGAAGAAGCTGAACGTAGAGATACTGGAGCCTGAAGCGCCACAGCATCAAGTGACCTGGAACTACACGCGCAAAGCAAACAGCCTCTCGGGTGCTGAATAAACACAGATACAACGAAAGAATGTCTCGGGGGCGACAGGTGGCTTCTCTTACCTGCTGTCTGAGTCTGTGGCGATCTCCTTTCTTCCTCCAAAGCGGATTTGGCACTGGAAAGATATGAAGGGAATGATTAATAGCTGCCTGTGAAAGAAAGACTTCTTTCTTCAGCGTTTGACCGCTTGCGTTCAAACTTCGCTCCAGCACGCGGTGAGCACATTTCTAAGATTTCTAAAGGCCTAAATCGCTGAAGTGGCAGCAGTAGAATCGATACAGTCTCTTGCTGATAAACAGTACTGACACATGGGAGCAGGCGGCCTGTAGTTTACCACTGTAACACTGCTCAGTTTTACTTCCTCCAGGGTGTTTTGGTAAACGGTAGAGGAAAGGTGTACTGACACCACAAACAAATGGTGAGTTACTTCCTTGTTCCGGTTAAAGGGCATTGATCCCGACACTAGACAAAGTTTGGCACCAATGTCGTCTCCCAGGTAAAGAACGGGCGGGTTAACGGGTGACTCACCTGTTTGACAGCATCCAGCAGCCTCTCCAGGAGGTGCTGTCTCTTGGTATCACTCTGCTGAGTGCCTGCAGAGGTAAACACACAGATTATGGAAAAATGACACAAATTTAAGTTTGACGATGGATTCAGGAAATCAATTACCGAGTCATTGTTCCTGCATTAATTATGCATGTCCAAGAGGAGGGGAAGGAAAGGAACTGGCCATCGCAGTCGGTATAAACAGTTTGAATATAATGGAGAAATCCTTTTTATGGATTTACTACAGCATGAAAAAAACATTCAGTACGTCTGCAACATTCAACAGCTCATTCGGAGGAAACTATACTTTTTGGATGGAAAAAGTAAAGAATTACTGTTTATCAAAACATATAACACCCAGTGGTCCCTCAGCCTCTCTTGTCCCCGCTGAAAGACGACTCTGCCGGGAGGAGAGCGGGCGCCAGCTTCGGAGAAGGACCGCCGCAGCGTTAGCAACCCTCCCGTCTCCCGTCTCCGGAGCGACCGTGTGCTCTCCACCCGGCTGTAGTCTCCAGCAGCGGGGCGCAGGAACCCATCACACTGCTCTGCTCATTCTCTGTGACCAACGGAGAGGTAGCATGATGACATGGCGGGGTTAGCAAGCTAACTTTAGCCAGTCGCTAAAGGAGCTGTGCTGTTAATGCTACACAGTTGTTACTGCAAACTGACGCGGTGGGGAGAGAATAGGAGAGGTGTCTGATTAGAGCGCGTTAATATTATTTTACTTCATAACGTAGATCAGTCCCAAACCATCAACCCATCCCAGACTGCACAGATTAGGGCTGATTTAGAACAACAGACGGTGTTTTGAGACATTTTCAACCATGAAATGCCTATTTTTTATAAATTTGGCAAGAAATCTCAATCTTAACACGAGCATTGAAATGTTTCATAGAAATACGGTCATATTAAATAAAAACACATTTAAGTGTCACTCGTTAATGTGCACTGTCCCTAATAAACAAATCAATGTGGCTGTTATAGTACGCATCTTTCTATTTTTGTTACATTATGTCTATAGTGACTTTGATTCACAGTTACAACTAAAGTTAATATTGTTCGGTACATTTATTCAAACAGAGTACAGAAAATTTAAATGAAAGAATTTGATGAGTCCATTTTTTAAGTAAAACTCAACCACTCTCAACCACTCCTCCGATGTGAAGACGTGCTGCTTTTCTCTGGAATATATATCGTTATGAATTTAATCTCTTGGGTTTTGAACCATGGGTCAAATAAAACAAGACATCTGAAGGCATCACTTCAGCCTCTGAGGACACAGAGATGGACATTTTTCACCATTTTCTGACAGTCTATTGACTGAATAAACCATTGTTATGTGTATCATCCTGGCATTTTCTCTTATTCACATTTAAATTGTTATATATATATTGACCAGGAGTTTTCCAGTTCTACCACAATATTCTAGCTGCTGGCCCACACTTGGACCAGCTCTGGGCCAAGTGCTTTGCTAAAGAGCACCTCGGCAGTTGCAGAGTGAGGGAAGCTGCATGGAGCAGTCCCTTTCCTCCACCCACATGTTTGCATGGGATTCACACTTGCAACTTGTCACGACCACACTTCCACAAACTCCAAGGCTACCTGCAGCCTCCAGCGAACTGCGTCACGTGGTGACTTGTCACTTCAAAACAAACAGCAAAGTGTTCTGCAGGTTTGTCTTCAGTGGAGCTAAACAGCACGAGGTTCAGTGGTGGTGGACTGAGCTTACAGGATGCAGTTTAAACTTTACTACTTTTAATACTACTTTTTAGTACTTTTGAGCAGTGTTTGTATTTTCTCTTTCGGTTCACTGGTTGGACAGACAAGAAATGCCGTTCTGTGTGTTAACATTGGGGAAGTATCTGCAGCGCCGTTAACAAGTCAGCAGAAATCAAACTGCATGAACACAACTTACTGCATGATGTGCTTTAGTGGCAGAGTGACTACCAAAAGGCAATGACACCACAACACTCACCGTTCATTCTGACAGCCAAACTCCGGTACCCGTGACATCCAAGCCTAACCGTTCATCAGCCGGTGTGGTCGCTTAGAATCATGAGAGCAGAGGCTAGCGATGCACCGGGTACATGCTTCCTCCGCGGCCCGAGCCGGAGCCACCCAACCGCGGCGTGAGGACTGATGCTCGCACGGTGAACGGAGAGGCCTGCCGGGGAGCCGCTGGGCGCTGTGAGTCTGTACACAGGCTGACATGCAAAGAGTTGTACGAAGCGCGAGAAGCAGCGGAACTGTACTGAGCACGAGCCCGAGTGCAGTTTCACAGACACGAAACTGTCCGTTTTTAAAAATGTGGCGGTCGGTTAGAAGAGGAAAGCGGTGTTTTCAGTCCGGGACCTGACTCGCCGCAAAGAACGGGAAGCGGAGGACTGAGCAGTGTCAAGGTCACGTGACAAAACACACAGCGGTCATATGACAGGCAGAGCCTAGTGGGAGTTGTAGTCTTTTGCTGATGAAGTGTCGAACTACAAGAGTAACTTTTATATTATGCAGAGAGATTCTAGAAAAATAGACATGAAATATCTGCGTATTTCTTGCAGCATTAACACGTCTTCACCTCCTTTTTATTTTAAAAAGGAATAAAATACATTAGTCTTATTTGTATTTAGTCGTAAAATGTTTACAGTCGTTCTCGTCTTGTTCACTGCTTCCATCAATGGAGTTATTCGACCTTTACCATTTACTACTTAGAACTGTACATCCAAATATAAATGGATCTGTTTCACTAGTTTCCCTTTAATTCACTGATTATTTTATTTTATTTATATATAAATCTGCTTATATTTATTGATCAATTGGTATGATCATTATTCATTTATATATATATATATATATATATATATAAATATGTATATATATATGTATATATATATATATATATATATATACATATATATATACAATATGTGAATCTACAGTATGTGTATCAATGTAGATTTTTAATGGTTGTCTTTTGGAGTAATTTAGTTTTTGTGAATTATTTTAAACCTGTATTTAAATCTCTAAACCGTGAAACGTCCAGCCGATGCAGTAACACAGTGAGTGGGTCTAACACTATTAGGACTTTAAATTGAAAACAGAGAACATTTAATGAAAACTTGGGAATATGGAGTACCAGTCTAGGAGCATTTAATTGATTTCATATATTGAATTGCTTATTGAATTGTATAATATGCAATCAATGCCTGACAACTGCTTGAGAATATGTAATTGAATGGAAATCTGAGAATGAAACCCTCAAAGCTCTTGATGGCTTCAGATAATGATGTTAGCACACACCCACACACACAGGTCATAAGAGGCTGCAATGTTTCTGGTGAGTGACTCAATGAGAAATCTGGTTGCATCAATGTCACCATGAAACAATTTATACTTTCAGAATGTATCTTTTCATCCTGCTGCACAATATATTCAAGTATCCTGACTGGGACACAACTCCTGAAACCTGAATGATCAGCTCACACCATGTCTGGCTGTCAGGTGTTGATTCCAGGCTGTAGACATTCCTATGATATATTACAGAGCGATACTATAGGCTACTAATAACACTTTAAAGCACTTTAACACTAACAGGAAACCATAACCCCATAATTTTTCAGCAGGAATATTATTGGAGTACTATAGGCCTACTACCGCATAACCCAAATATAATAATATAACAGTAAAATCACAACTAATGCAGTATAACATGATTCAAGAAATAATAGATAGATAGGAACAAGTAGCCAGAGATTGCTGATACCGGCCGATACACACATGAACATGTGAATGAGGGGATTACTGGCGCTTATTTCTTTCCTCTTCAAGCACTGCTGTGAACCAGATTAAGGATTTGGCAGCTAATTGGAACTTCTAGGGCGACACACAGTGGAAATATCTAGTTAGCTGAGTCAGTTGTTAGCTGCAGCCCTTTAGTTTGTCAAATACGTGGTTAGCCGTTTCAAATAATTGATTGTTATTAAATATAATATTTAGTTATTTATTTTTTGCAGCATGCAAGTTTGTTGAAGGCTTGACAGTTCATGATACTGATGAAATAGAAAAATGAAAAATATATTGATAGATTGATAAATTGACAATAACGTGAATAAATAAGTGATTAAATCTAATAATAATTTAAATAGTTAAATAGCAAATGTAAAAAAAATAAAATTCCACTTAATTCATTTTAAATATATATCCACTGAAATAAAAACATGTGTATTATTACAAAACTGCATTCTCATATTCTTTTGCTTCCATGTATACTGAGTATGTATTTGAAGGCTAGCTCTTTTATGTTTCTTCTTCTTTCATGGTGGATTTATTTCAGGATGATACTTGCCCATCAATCAACCTCTGGGGGGCGGGATCAGGCTCAGGAGGAATTGTAATCACTCACGATTCAGACTTTTTTATCCAGCGCCATCACCAGGTTAAACTTCAATTTGGTTTATAACAAATGCATTAATAACTCAGAAAGAGCCTCTGATCCTGCAAATCAAACAAAAAGTAGCAGATTTGAGAACAGCCATTATGTAACAGTATGTGTGACATTTCATGTTCTTCCTTACAGCTAATTCAGACAGAGCCACTAACTTATGGATATCACATGACTCAATCAGTGGTAATCAGATGACCTGAGAATCATCACAGTCCGCTTCAATCTGTACTCTGATCACTTTGGTCATATCTAATCTAAGGCTTTAGTGTCTGTGCATCACACATGAGTGAGTGTGTGTGTGTGTGTGTGTGTGTGTGTGTGTGTGTGTGTGTAAGAGAGAGAGAGAGAGTGTGTTGCCGTTTTATCAGGGAATCACAAACATGAGATATTGTCAGATCAGAGGTGAACGAGACTGTCTGAGATTTAGATAACTTTAGATTCTTTCCTTAATGTGGATGCTGATGTTTGGACACTTGAAGTAGAACTTTGTGTACCATATACTCTACAACTACTACTGTTTGTATGCTGAAAAAATGTTAGCAACGATGCATATAGAGAGCAAGATACATTTATTAAAGTTCAGCATATTTTGTACATGAAGAGATTATACTCCAGGAAGCTGAAGATGGCTGTGAGACAGTTAAATAAATAAATATAAAAGAGGGGAAAACTGAAATAATCAGACCATTTACAGATTTATTGATGGTTAGTCATAAATGTCTTCGTAAGGAAGCCACAGCCCAAAACCGCAACATTATTTATGAATAACAAATACCAGCCGCTCACTGTCCAATATTCAACTGCATTGAAAACACACAATCAGCTTGTCAGACTTGAAACCTTCAGGGACTTTTCAGTGCAGATGGAGAGAGATGGCAATCGACACGTACTGTAGAGACGGGTGAGATTATAGCTTCAATTTACCATGAGATATAAAAATAAATAAGTAAGGACTGCATGACTTATCCTTCTGGAAGCATTTGGTTTATTTCAAATGGTGTCCTTGTCCAAAAAACTAAAAAAAGGCAGCTATAAATATTCTGGTCACACAATCAGCCTCATCATAATAAGTCCCTTATCATAGCGTTTATTTCATCACATCCCTACTCTGCAATATCTGTGAATCAACCAAACATGACTGATGAGAATGCTGTGGTTTCTAAATCAATTCTTTTTTGCAACACTGTAATTGTGTGCAAAGTTTACATCTTATCAGCTGATAAAAGCATGTGGACGTTATCTAGACAGCGTTGTCTAATCATTACAAGTGTGCATGTTACCGGTGCAAACACAAAATCCCTTTCAACAGGATAAACTGATGAGCAAAGGAAAACAAACATAAAGATCCAAGTTCAGTGTGTCCGTTCCAGTCCGTTAAAAAGCTTTAGTTCATATTGACAGTGTCTCTCTCACGAGTTCTTTAGAAGAGGAGGTGATGGTCGAGTCATAGATGGTGGAGAGCGACACCTCTGTGTTTGAAGGCCTGCTGTTGCCTGTTGGGTCTCCTCTGATGGACCTGCCGCTCTTCCTGAAAGAGCTCCTGATCCTGCTGGTGAAGCTGTCGGACACGCGCCTCACCACCCGGCTGAGCCCACGGTTCTTCAGCTTGATCAGGCCCACATCGTCCTCCAGCTCCTCAGGCGGCACATCGATGTTCCCGGAGTACCAGAACACCCACCAGATCAGGCTGAGGAAGATGATGATCGCCCCCGCGTAGATGAACAAGTCGTGGATGACGAGCCCTCCGAACATCCCCAACATCATGATGAAGACGCCGACGACGTCGTGGGCCACCGCAAACCAGAACGAGCACTTGCAGCGGCCTACTCCTCCGTCCCCTCTCTCCGTGAATGGCTCTATCTGCACAGATGTTGACATGGTGGCAGCGGAGGTCCTCCGAAGGCAGAGTGTAGTCCAGATGTGCAGCTGCCGGACAGTGAAGCGCGATCCTCGTCGACTCACAGCCAAACCTGCAGTGGTCAAAGTACAACGTGCACAAGCGGTTATCAGCAAGCACCGCATCAGCTTTGTGAATGTGTCGGATGTTTTCCTGGAAACGGTTGCATCATCACTGACAAAAATGAGTGTGTCCACTTTCACATTGCGGAGTCACTTCTACTCAAGCTCCCCCCGGCTGTACCGCTTCCTCCTCTGCTTCTCGTTCAGCACGGGGATCCACACCAGACCCATCACAACAAACAGCAGCCCTAAGGACAGGCAGGCCGAGGCTACGGAGCGGGACGCCTCGGTCACCCCCAGGGACTGGAGCAGGAAGAGGAGTCCGCCCGCGGCAGACATCAGAGACCCCATCACCATCACAATGATGGGTTTGTGGAGGTGGGCCCAGCCTGGGCGAGGGTCTGGACACAGGCTCAGACTCCCAGAGTCATCTGGAAGTGAAGTTTCTCCAATTGCTTCCATGGTTGCTTTCAACAGAACAATGGCCCTGTTGCCGCTTTGTCTCTCCCCTCTGAGAACCTTTAAAACGTGAATAATGGAAACACCAGCCACCGATCGTCCAGACCTTCCCTTCAGCTCGTCCCGTCTGCTCAGCCAGTCCCCGTTGCAATGCAGCCGCCTCCCCACCGGCAGTCACACGAAGGAGCTTTATCCTCTGTATGATCAGTGTTTGCATGATGCATCTCTCGTTCTCCCGCCCAGCAGCCTGTGAACACTGTAATTCCAGATGGCCCACCACACCCACACAGCAGAGGGAGGGCTTGGACAGACGGACGGACGCGGCCCACCTGTTGAACAACCAATATCATCACCGCCGATTGGCCGGCCACTTAGTGACCATCTTGTTGCATTTTACATCCAAGACAAACATGCTGTGTGTAGAAATGTAGGGAAACTCATATTTCAGTGTCTCAGATCTGCTCGTGTGTAGAATGTACTTTTTTTTAGTAAACGTGAAGACGCAAAGCCTCAAAGGAGGCTGTAGTTGTGCTGACACAGCATTACTGCCAGGGAGCGGCAGCTGAACAAGCCCGAGTATTAACCAGTCAACAATAGGCATGTCATTTGATACGGCTAGCAGCTTTACATGCACAGCTCTGACGGCTACATTCACTATGAGCAAACGTCTCAAGGATAATGCACTTCAGATGTTTAAGGATATAAAAGGTGTTCGGACAGATTCTGTTCACGATGTGTATGAAACCATTCAGTGTTGTGTACAGACTGATGGTTTCAACCTTGAAATGAGACGTTGCTGACTTTAATCCATGCGTTTATTATTTCTAAGTGCTCAAAGACTAAAAGCTAAATGAATCATAATTCGGTTTATTAATGTTCAGCGAGTCATTCTACAAAGTCCTTGACGTGTCGACTCCTATTTTGAGAAATACATTCTTGGAGGACTCATCACATTGGGTGTTACTTTAACTTTGCTATAATCGATGATAATCAAATAAATCGGTCATCTCTTTCATGCCGAGATGGATTAGTTTTCCTGAGGAATGTCTGACGGTTAAAGCGACCCGAAAAGAAAAGGTGGTCAAAAAGATAGAATGCTTAAAAACGAAAGGATATGTGTCAAGTCAATAACACTATTTGAATGTCCCAGTTGATAAATCAACACTTCTATTATACATGACTAATCACTGGCCAAGCCACCATAAGCATTTTTTTCTTTTTCCTACCGACATAGCAGGAATATGACATAAGTAATTATTGTTAATAAGGGATGAGCAGTAAGCCGTACTGGTCTCAGGACCCCATCACTGTGTATGATGGCTGATTGATACAATTAAATAAAAACAGAGGCTTCATTTTCGATATTGGTTCCACTCGTGCTTTTCCTGCTCTGATAAAAGCGTCTGCTGTGACGAAGGCCTTTTGTTAAAAAAAAACACATTTAGAGAACACAACATAGCCACGGATAGTTTTAGATTACAAAGTTTATTATCTGCTTCATCTGAGCAAAAACAAAAAACAGACTGAATATAATGATAATTCTGTGAACGATCCTGTGTAAAATGTCCTTGTAGAGACGGTAATGTGCAAAGAAGCTCTATTGAGAATCATTTGACTTTAGGAACTTTTCTCTTTACTTTAAAGTCAGTCTTGCCGGCCTTCCTGGCCCGTTTGTTTGGTGCTTTCTTTGCTTTCTTCGTCACGGCGGCTTTGGGAGCTTTCTCCAGCTGCTGCTACAAAGACAGAAAGAAAGGTGATGAGGGTCTGCAGTCCACTTAATTAATTAAATATTTACATTAGTTTAAATGTTAAGACGAGCAGCTGTGAGCAGCACTGACCTCCAGTTTAGCCTTTTTGCTAGGTGTTGCTATGGGAACCAGCTGTGGGATTTTGTCATCCTTTTCTCCCTCCTCTCCGGTGGCAACGGTTTGCTTCTTGAGCGCCTTCTCGACCTCGTTCTCCAGCTTTCTGGCCGCGGCTTTCTGAAATTCACACACATGTGAGCTGTTTATCTTAACACGCCGTTTCTAGAAATGAAGCTCAGGCACGAGATGAACATGCGAGTATGAACTTGTTCTCGCCTCTTTCTTTCTTAGCTGAGCATGTTCCGCCTCTTCCAGCACAGTGAGGTGGGTCAGGCTTGAGTTGTAGATTGGCAGGGCCACTGATGTTTGACTCTTGATATGGATGAGCTTCATTACGGGTCCTTTCTGTAAACGGCAACGCAAATATAATGCATACTTGGGAAGAGGAAGCAGCTTAAACCAACAAAGTATGAAGAAGGGTTGCACAATGAAATATAAGTGGACCCTTCACGCCACACACACGGAACATAAATACTAATATATAAATAAGAATAGAATAAAATAAGACAATATATGTTACTTATACACAGAGAGACGTTGAACTGGAAGTTATCCAGGGAACTCACCGTGCGTAGTTTTGCCACCACTGCCTGGAACGCAGCCTCGATGTTTTCTGTCACCTCGTCTGCAGTCATGCCGGCGTGGGCAATGCGCGCCATGCTAAGATAGCGGCCATTCGTGTGAGAAAATGCAGCGTTACTCTGTGGAACTCTAAGGTGACGCTGTAAACAGCACCAATACAAGCAGTATAAATGCAGGGTTCTAATGCAAACGTAACATATTGTGTATCAAAGTTGTAGAGACGGGCTTTATTGGAAGAGGAAGTCCATCTGGATTTACATTGAATCTCTATGGCACCAGCAATTGCCCATATCAAACACTTCACAGAATCGACTGGGTTGTTTTGAGGTGCTTTTCATGTTAGAGGACATCAAAACATTCTGTGAAACTGATTGTTTCCCATCTTGCTGAAGTAATACTAAAAGAAAATATGTTTTCCTTAAGCTGAATGAAGGTTGTTTTCACAGACAGCTGAAAAAAGCAGATTTCACTGGGAACACAGAAAGCAGTCGTGCAAATCTCACCAGCAGCTGCCCTTGTTGGTGACTTTCAGGTTGGTGCCCTGGATGACTCTGTGGATGTCTCTCGCCAGTTGTTTGCTCTGCAGGTTCACACACAGCGGCTCTCTGGGAACGACAGAAATGGCGTAAGAATCCATCTGCTGCGGCTAAAGAAGAACTTGTTGGTACCAAAGAGTGTAAGAAAAGGGTCTCACCTTTTCCTCAGGTAGAAATGTTTCCCGAGGTGGGACGGCAGCAGGCGGCGGACGCGTTCGTCAGAAAGGAACATGTCAAAGTTCCCCAGCAGACGGCGCTTGGCTTCATGCGGTTTGTACTCCGTCGTCAGGACCTTGTACGGGATGATCTGCTCCGGATACAGGGACACATCAGGATTGTGGTTCCTCCATCAATAGGAGGTCTTAATGTAGACCAAAATAATACTCCGCTGCCAAAAACTTGTGTTTTTTTAGGAATTAGCAGCCACTATGGTTAGTCAGCCAGCTTTGCTATAATAAGTTAATGTATGTGTTTTTCTGTACTTGTGTGCATACCTCAGTGATGTTTTTCACTCCCTTCTCTTGCAGCAGCTTCTTATAAAACCTCTGGGTCTGCTCTGAAGTCATGTGGGGCTCATCTCTGGTGAAGAGGCAAACCTCGTCTGTGTCAGGCCGCTGGCCATGGGGCAAGGGGCTGGGGATGGAATGAGACGTCAATATCAATGAAATCGGTTCACATGAGAGCAAATATATCTGCTACAGATTAAACTACGGGTCGGGCATGAAGGCAGTGGACTCACATGCGGATGGTCTGTGGCTTTTTGGGGATCTTCCAGAGGGTGAAGAGCAGGCTGATCTGTCGAGTCTCGTCCAGGAACAAGGAGTCCCCGGTGGACTTGGATTTCAGGAAAGCCTGCAATGCCTGGACGGCCTTTTTCACCTGGTTGAGACATTAACGCTACAGTTATAACATACTTATAAAAAAACCCACCGACAAACCATAGTTTTCTTCCAGAGTTCGAGGGATTCGGGCTCGTTGCTTTGCCATTAGCTTCGTTGCTAAACCAGTCAGCTAGCAAACAAGCTAGCTGATACTAACTAGCTTATAGTCGCTGTAGATTCATAACATCGTGATTTAACATAAACACATGCAAACTTCTATCAACCGACATCATATTATAAAGAGTTTAAACTGTATTGCAGGAAAAAAGGGAGTTTTTAACCTGTGCTCTGTCCAACGCAATCTCCGCTCCGTCGGCCATGCTGTCTGCTTCACGTGTGAACCGTAGTCACGCATGCGCAATCAGTCTTCTCTACGTCACACAATACTAAAAGAAACAAAACTTTATTTAAACGAGAGCTCTGGACAACCGAGGAACAAAAGTTGCCTCATGACAAGATTATTTTCAAAAGAAGTTAGAAATGATGGATACAGATGTTGCAGTCTTAGTATTTACGTATCTGCACTGAAAAAAAAAAAGGTTTTCTATAATGCTAAAGTAAATTACAAATGTATGGTGGCCCAAAAGGGTAAAAAAAAAGCAGCTTTTAAGTCTGATTTATGAGTTGCAATACATCCAGTTATATTAAAACAAAGGATAGGTAACGTCTATAGTATTATGCTATTAATATTCAAAAGGAAATGTCATTGATCGCCCATCCCAAATGGAAATATTTATTAAAAGGGAAACAAATACACCTTTGTGTTGCAGCTTGATCATTTATTTTCACTTTAGATTATGTAACAGCTGTGTGTGTCTGTTTGAGTGAGTGTGTTCATCCATGGTTCATGAGTAGCATGTGAGCTCAATCAAATTAAACCATCTCATATGGAGAGAGACCAAATTTCCCAAATTCTCGCAATACTTGAAACCAAATTAAAAAGTCGGCCGGATTCTTAATCCCACTCTTAAAACTGGACATGTACTCTCTGCAAATTGTAATTACAGGCTAACTCTGGACTTCTGCAGTATATAAAACCATTCTGTAGAATTCGGTTTTTCTTCCCCAAGCTCGGTTACACTGCATCCATCTCCATTCTAAAAACAAATGGCGCGGCCAGCCGACTGCGCGGTTAGCCGTGGGAGTACAGAAA